AGCTGGTGGTGTTTCTGCGAAGCCGAGTTCTGCGCTTCTCGGAATTAGCCGATGATGCACCGTCAAAAAGGTTAGCGCATCATCACTGACTGTATGTATGCTCCCCACCATTTCAAGTTGAACAGGACGTCAGCAAGAAAGGCTAAAGATAACAAAGAAGTATTGTTGGTATGAGCTTGTCCAGGGTCTCAGACGACGACATTTGTATTGTATGCCATATATATGCGCCAGGGGTATCTCAATTGCAAAACGCCCATCCAAACACAATGATGCTGTTCCCTTGCATCCGTATGCTACATGACCACCCACTCAGCGTGATAAGAAAGAGTAAAGATAAGCTCAGTCATCATATAGTTGCTGTGGTGCTGCCATACTCATTCTCAGCTGCCTCTCTCGTTGCTTGGCCTGAAGCTCGAGCGTCTCCACTGCATAACTGAGTCTGTCTTTCTTTGCTCTTAACGCCTTGAACCGTAACTCTTGTTGCGCACTAATAGCCTTGCCTCCATTTCTCTGCGTACTCCTGCTCGCTGGCCTCGATCCCGAACCGCCATTGCTGTCTCGCCCAAGTCGTCCGTCATTCAGGTCACATTTGGCTATGAGGGCTTGTTCGCGACGCTCGAGTTTATCCACGTAGTTTTCTACACGCTTGAGAAGATTGTCAATTTCTGGGCGTATTTCCGAGAGGAGTCCTGCTTGCGCCGTCTGAAGGTCCGACTCGGAAATGAGTTCAAAGTGCTATGGAACATGTTAGTTTCGTTAAGGAGCCACCAAGGGTCTGGAGTACAGTTTACGTACTCGTGTTGTTTGCAGCACTTTTGCCAGCCGAGGAAGGTCACTGACGCCGTCGTCCAGTATGTTGATGGACGAATCCAGCAGTTGCATGCTATTGCGTAGCGAGGCTACACATCCTTCTAATGGAGAGGCCATGACTGCAACTTTTTCTTTGGTAGCGTAAAGGTGTAGGGTTCCAGATCACTGGCAGAGTCGTCTGTCGCGGGGTTGTTGCGCCCTTGGTGTACATGGTGTTTACGGGTCGGTCTTTACGCGCGCCGATGCCAAGCATATCGAAGTTCTGCAAGCCGAACGACCGGAGCTCAACACCACCACCGCCCATCCTCATCGCAACTGCCAATCAATCCATTGCCCCTCCACCACACGTCAAAATGCCTCTTCTCGGAAGGAAATTCCCGGCGCAAATTGGTACGTCTCCATGGACGGCGCTGACAGCCAATGGTAGAGCTCGAACGACTGCTAACCAAGGAATTACAGCCAAGCCCATGTGGCCTTTCTACGTCTCTGGTACGTTGCGGAGTTCGATGCACATATACGATTAAATTTTGTGGAAGCAAAAGAGATGGATTTGGAGGATGTTGGAATGGACGGAAGAACGAATGAAGGGATGACTGTGGGGAGTGCTGGACTAACAGAAACCACCAGGTCTTGTCATCCTCTACGGTGTCAACTCTGCCGCGAACGCCATGTCCCAGGGTGCGTAGTCTACCTATTGGTGGCTGAATTGGCCCACGAGATTCCAAGTTCGCAAACTGACACGAAGCAGCCGACGAGTACAAGAACGACCCGCGAAACCCCGCCGTCAAGAACCAGTCAGCGAACCACTAAGCTTCAAAGTGCATGACGTGGACAGCGGGGTTTGAGCATATGGATGCTATCAGATGCAGTGTACAATAACCGCAGAAATGGGAAAAGGATGGAGACGTCGCACTGAGACGGCCATGTAGATTTTGCCAAATCAATCCTGGTCAAACCAACAGCTAGAGCCTTGTCTGCCTTGGCTACAGATTTCAGTGTGCTCAGAATCGGTCAGATTCAATCTAAGAAAAGCATGTCGTGCTCAAAGTCTTGAAGATGTCATTCTGGTGTGCTGGCCCTCACATGACTTACTACGATTGGCCCGACGATCCTGTTAAAATAAAATAAAGTATTGATTGATCTAGTGCGCATAATCAGGCCCGGATCGATGCGAGGGCGATTGCTAGGGCAACAGTGGGATGGCATTGCATGCGTTTGTGCTAGTAGAGGTCCAAGCACTTGGGCAGCATCGGTTACCATGCAAGGTACGCGTGATGCCACGGATTGCTGGTTAGAATTTGCCTGGCAAACATGGGGGCACGTCAAAGATTTTGTTATGCTGTCCAGTGTGATGAGCAGCTAGCGAGGTGACAATGTGTAAAGAGTATTTTTCCTTGGTTGTACGGGCAAATGCACCTCGCCGATAGCTGTGTCGGGGTACGAAGAAAAGCTGGTCAAAGCACAAAATGGCGCCGAAGAAATAAGCGGTAGAGTACAGCACACGTATGTAGGTACATGAGTACGTGCCCTGGCTCCCAGGGCTGAGGTACATGAGGGTGAAGGCAAGTGTGGTGTGGCATAGGGCGTAGCTGTGGAGCGCTGACGTTTGTCAGAGGGTAGACATGGACGGGTAGCTTGGGTGGCCTGTAGCCGTGGGAAGCGAGCGAGCCTCAGTCGGGCCGTCGAACTTCTAGAATATGTACTACTGCTTGATAGTAACATCGGGCAGGAAGTATTTTCCCGACGCCTACGTAGTAAGAGGTGGCGTCTGCATGGGATGGGTAGGGAAAATCATGATGGCGCCATGGTTAGGAGCAACATGACGCATTAGGGGTTGGGAGGAGGAGGACGGGTGGCATCAGTTTGCGGCATTTGAAACGCAGCGTGCCAGCTGCATGGAGCCACCCTGGGGGGGAGGCTGTGGGCGAGGAGCAGAAGCAAGCAGCCGGTTTGGGTAGCCATGTAGCCACCATGGGGCGCGAGTCGGGAGTCGGGAGTCGGGTAGAGAGGTAGGGAGGTAGGGAGGTAGGGAGGGAGGGAATGGAGCGGAGACAGTCGACGGCGCTTGATACACCGCCGCCGCACCCGCAGTGAAGACGTCGCCACCTAGCGCCCCACGTGATTGTGCGCCCAGCCGCAAGCCGCAGCCGATGCCAGACCAGCAGGTGCGGCGGGTGCACCTTCTGCATCCTCTCCATCCGCGTCCTCACTGCACCTCCTCCCGCCGCCGTGTGCTTGTTCTGCCAGGCTTCTCTGCTCTTCTCTGGCCTGCACACCTGCCGCTTGTGCATCCCACCGCCTGCTGCTCTGCCTCTCTTTCTCCTGCATCCCCCCTCCACACTCCCACACATACACAGCCTCATCACCCACCCACCACACAGCCGCCTCGCGGTCGTTTTCCGTTGGGCTCACTGCACGCCCTATCGTAAGTCCTGCCCAGCTCCCCAGCTCCCCAGCCCGGCGCCGCCCTCAACCCTGTGTGCTCTGCTCTATTCCCTCACCACGCAACCCACGCAACCCTCATCACCTGCTCTCCCAAAACCCGCCAGCCTTTTAGTCCTTGCCCTCCCCTTATCGACGCGTTCGACTGCATCCTCTAGCGTTTCTCGGCTGCCCGCTCCCCGCTTACTCACCGCCTTTGTAGGCAAAAGCCTCATACTGACCGGTCCGTCCACAGCAGGCTGATCCTCAAAACACACCCACGTCCCATCGTCAACACCCTCGGCCCACCCACCACTTCACCCTCACCACCGGGCCAACCTCCTCAAGGTTGAACTACCTCCCACCATGACGACAATGGTATGCTCTCCCCCCCATGCACCCTCACTGCCTCTTGTCATCACCATTACCACTCTCATCATCACCATGCCCGACAGGTGCATCTCTGCAACGCACCAGGCTGACCCCCAGTAGGATCTTCGCGTCGGCAACAAGTACAGAATCGGCCGCAAAATTGGTAGTGGCAGTTTCGGTGACATCTACCTTGGTGTGTACCAGCCGCGCCCCTCTCAGCTGAGCTGAGCTAACATGTACAGGTACCAACATCATCTCCGGCGAGGAGATCGCCATCAAGCTTGAGAGCGTCAAGGCCAAGCACCCCCAGCTCGAGTATGAGGCCCGTGTCTACAAGTCGCTTGCTGGCGGCGTAGGCATTCCTTTTGTCCGCTGGTTCGGAACTGAGTGCGATTACAATGCCATGGTCTTGGATTTGCTCGGCCCTTCGCTCGAGGATCTCTTCAACTTTTGCAACCGCAAGTTCTCCCTCAAGACGGTCCTGCTTCTTGCCGACCAGCTCATCTCCCGCATTGAGTACATCCACGCAAAGTCGTTCATCCACCGTGATATCAAGCCCGACAACTTCCTCATGGGCATTGGCAAGCGCGGCAACCAGGTCAATGTCATCGACTTTGGTCTCGCCAAGAAGTACCGCGACCCCAAGACCCACTTCCACATTCCTTACAGAGAGAACAAGAACTTGACTGGTACCGCCCGTTATGCCAGTATCAACACTCACTTGGGTGTCGGTACGTAAACCCCCTTTACCCTTTACCCACCTTGCTTCTCGTAGCTAACATTTGTAGAACAATCCCGCCGTGACGACATGGAGTCCCTTGGCTATGTCATGCTCTACTTCTGCCGTGGCTCCCTTCCCTGGCAGGGTCTTAAGGCGGCCACCAAGAAGCAGAAATATGACCGCATCATGGAGAAGAAGATGACAACCCCTACCGAAGTCCTGTGCCGTGGCTTCCCCAACGAGTTTGCCATCTACCTCAACTACACTCGCTCTCTGCGTTTTGATGACAAGCCGGACTACTCGTACCTCCGCAAGATCTTCCGCGATCTCTTTGTTCGTGAGGGCTTCCAGTACGACTACGTCTTTGACTGGACCGTCTACAAGTACCAGAAGAACGCCCAAGCCATCGCCCAAGCTGCCAACCAGGGCCAGGGCGATGAAGACGACAAGGGTCGCGGACGCCACGTCACAACCACGGCTGCTGCAAACGCCGGCACCGCTGCTGGCACCAAGCGCGGACCGGTCAACGCACGCCAGGAGGGCACCGGAATGTGAGTTCGATATATCTGATCCTCGTAAGGGACCCTCTCCTTTGCGTTCGGTGTGATAACGCTTAGCGCGGGGGATGTCAGATGCAGACCTTACTAACCTTGTTCTTTTTTTCAGGCAGCTTCGTTCAGCCAATAAGCGTGGCGGGGACCAGTATGCATCCGGTTACTGATTCTTGATGCGGCTTTCGATTCGTCATCTCAACTCTTGCGGGTCCGCCTATTTGAATTTGGCTTCGCACGCACAACGAATGGGAAATGCGGCACCGCCGTCCTGGCAACATTTTGGACGGCGTCGCTTATTGATCAGTCCATGGGATTTAGTCGGCAGGCATCTGATACAGACCTAGAGGGAGGCACTTGATGTCTCACACCTACTATGGTCATGGTGTCCTTGTTCGACTATCTCGTATCTCTGGAAGCTCGACCCACACATTATCTCAAATTGGCACAGTACTTCAGCTCGCAGACGACATGTTTCAACGATCCTTGGCCAATTGCAGTCAATGGTTCATGCGAAACGTCTTGCGAAGCTCTGCGTCACTGGGCAGCTCTCCGACTGATTGCGCATGTTTTTGTTTGATTTTCACCCCACATTAATTTTCCCCCTGCCCCCTCGTCCTTTGTATGGTTTTTTTTCCAGTAAATTTTCCTTGAGTTTCCCCCCTTCGGATTTGGCTGCCAGCTTGTGGGGAGGTAAAGCTTGAACAAAGGGGACGAAGTTAAATTGTATCACAAGAAGAATGTATGGGGGTGTGAAGCTTGGCTGGCAGACTCGAAGGGACACAATGGATGGGGCGGGCTAGAGGTGTGGCGTGGCTGTACTTCATTGAGAAGACAGCTTCCGGTGGTGAAAGGGGGGAAGAAGGGAGAGAAGACCACTAGCTTGCTACCATTGTGCTCGGAGACGGGAAAGGGGACGGGTGGATGCGTGGACGGGTGCCGTGTGCGTTTTTGTTATTAGTTTGCGTTGCTTTAGAAATGTATGTTTTCCTTATAAGCTTGTTCTCAATGATGTGAAAAGTGAGTGATGTGGTGAGTGATTGATTGATTGATGGATTAATTAATTCGCTAATTGTGTGATTGGTCATATATTATGGTGGTGTTATTGTGTAAATGCTGATTTCGTATTTCGTGTCACGGTGTCATGACTGTTATTCTTATCATGATTTCGTGTATTGGAGCAAATGTAATTACTAATAAATCTGATGCTTCCTAACCCCCCCTTTACCTTTTTCCATATATCTTGTCGTGATTTTTTTTTTCAATATGATTACCGCCTCACTTGAGTAATATCATTAAGTTGTTGTTGGGGTGAGTTTAACTAACTGATTGATTGTATGTTTGTGATGCTAGTTTCCATGTCACACACACACACATACAGCGTTATCATTGTCCGTCATTATTACGCCGAGTATGTATCAGGGCCAATAACGGCTGATTTATCAACAAGTCCGGTCCGTTCATGGTTCCTCGGTCTAGTCTGGATGCTGTGTCGTGGATTTTTTTCTCTTTCTTTCTTTCTTTCTTTCTTTCTTCTTAAATCAGATTCTCTCATCTATTTTTTTTTCGATTCGAGTGATCAAAAAAGATCGCAAGTTGAGTAGAAAGACTAGTTGGTATTCACCAGAATTAGGGTTGGATGCTTGGTTAGAACATGGCAATGAAGAAAGAAAAAAGGCAACAGTGATGAGTAAATTATGTGCATTGATATCAAGGTTTGCGCGTGCAACTACTCTCTCTGCAGACTTTCGATGCTCAGCAAGGAAAATAAAATGGATAGGGTAGGCCTGCCATGTTCTCCCATCTACAGGATAAACATGTCTTTTCTTGTAGCGGATGAAAGATAAAATGAGGTATGTGGCTGGTTTGATACCCACCTAATCTTTCTCTCTACCTCTCAAACCTTTTCATCATTCAACAAAAAGGCCGTGGGTAAAAAGTTATCATATGTCTTGCTGCATCCATTAATAACATGGAGAGAGATGTTGAGCAAATCCGTGTGTTGCTGGGTATATGTGCATTATCGTGTATCCTGACATTTGCTTGCCAAGATAGTTCCAATTCCAGTTCCAGTTCCATTGATCGGCTACTGCACGTGTACGTATAGCCTGTACCAGTGTGTAACGGTGGCTCCGGTCCGAAAAAGGTTTGGCCTGTCAGACGGGCCGGTATCGCGTACCATCTCACCTGTCGCTAAAAAGCAGAGATGAGTGGCGATCACGTCGTGGCGGGACGAATTCCAAACCGGACTTGTGCCATGAGTGTTTCCAAATAGAGTAATTACCAAGTGTAAGAGTCGAGCCTAAAATCATTTCACATCTCATCATTCGTTCTCAGTGGTCGGGCTGGGAGAAGCTTCGGTCTTTGGTTGGGTTGTTGTCTCCGGTGCTGAGCCTTCGGATTGACATCTCTTAAGTGCAGCCAACTCTTTCTTTAGCGCATCCATCTCACTGTCCTTCTTGCTAATCAACTCATCACGCTCTGACACCTCCTGCTTAAGCTGCTTGATGTACTCGATTGCACTTTCAACCTTTGCTGCCTTTGAGTTGTTGGAGTTTTGCGCGTTTGTCTCTGGGCTCTTGGCGTCGGAAACGTTACCGAACCGTGGCGAGGGAAGAAGAGCTTGCATTTCTTGCAGAGCTGTGTTGATACGGTTTCTACGGCCTTGCTCCGCAATCTTGTGCGAGGTGCGTTTTGAAGTAAGGTTCGTTGATAGTGACGTGGGGTAGACTACACCGGGGACCGTTGTGCCATCGAGAATGTTCTGATAGTTTGACTTGGATGCAAGCAGTAGAGCATGAGTATTGTCAGTGGTGCCTGGGAACTGTCAGATCAGAGTATACTATCAATGCGAGCAATACACTTACCACTGCCGCCGTCTGGTAGCAAAGGTTTTATGCTGGGCGAAATCTTAGGCATCAATGCAGGGCTGACAAGATGGGAGCTGACGCTGTTTCTCTTCTTTGGATTGCGTGCTAGCTTTGCATCTCTCCTACTGCTTGTCATTGAGAAAGCTGGACTTGTGGGAGTGGACATGGCGTCAAGCATGGGGCTAGGCCGGCCCGACATGGCTGCGCCAGGCGTGCTCAAGGGGTTCAGTTTGGGTGTCTTTCGCGCAGACAAGCGAGGTGTACCGCTATCATCGTCTCGAATCGCCGTGTCTGACCTTGACAAGCTCGGCCTGTCAAGAGACGCCTCCGGTAGGGTGAGGTCCTCTAGCATTGGCGGTGCTTGCTCAGAACCGTTGAAATCAGGCGATGGCTGTATGCGCATGAGAGAGGCCGGGGTGGCTGGAGTGCTACTCTGGCTGCTGCGTTGGGCCATGACAGCAGGTGAAGCTGTTGAAGAGCCAGGCTTGGGCGGGGGTCGCATTTCTGAGAGCATGGGTTCAGGGGAGATGGAGTCAGTCTCTGAGCTTTCGCGGGTGCGAGGCGCATCCAGACCCGCGGAAAGTGGATGCCGGGAGCGCGCATCTTGCACGAGGTCAGTGACGTCTTTTGGTAGAACAAGCGAGGAGCCGTTGGATTTCCGCCTGTTGGGTTTTACAATGGGAGACTGCCGTACACGGGCGTTGCCGCTGGCACGCGTTGCACCTCTTCTGTTTGCAGCTCTCGTGTTCCTTCTTCCCTGTTCTTGTGATACAATTGCAGGCTCACCCAGCATGTCCATGTCGAGATCAATGGGCGAATGGCCTGTAGAGCTCTCGGAAGCAGTGTTCTGCGGTGGTTGATGGGCATGTTGTTGGCTCTGAGCAGTCAGTGCGGGTGAGGTGAGCGGGCTGAAGTAGGAGCCAGCCATAGCAAAGTCCGGAATTTGGAAGCGTGTGTCATGGGGCGTGACTGCAGGCGATACAAGGGGGGTAAATGTCTGTATAGAGTCAGTGGCCGAGGCTCAAGGTGGGTTTTCCACTTCCAAACATACAGCATCATCTTTGCGCATGTGGTACCTCTGATCGAAGAGGGCTTGCTGCGACTCGACCTGCTGGAGATAGCGGTTGGGGTCGCCATGAATTTCAGTGCTGTTTGGGGTGGGCGGCACACCCTGATGTGGGCGGTAGAGTTGGGCGTGAGGCTGAGGGTAGCCTTGGGCCGTGTGCTGGGGGACGCCATAGTCGAAGAAGTTGTTTGCAGGCTGCTGGGAGAGGCCATGAGGGGAGATATTGTGGGCTTTCTGGGCGCCGTTTGGGCCATTGTGATAATCTGGGGCGAGTTGTGGGGGAAACTGGTTTTGCAGGTGGTGGACGTTGAGTGAATCGGTCAGATCGGCGAGTTGGCTCCCAGTTGAGGCGGGCCCCTGGCTGTTGTACCCGTCCATGTTGAAGTCGAGATCGAGATTGTCAAAGTCGATGAACTCTGCACCGGCAAAGTTGTCCTGGGACGTGTCCATGGCGAAGTGGTCTGCAGCAGCCCAGGACTGCGCAGCCGAATTGTTCATGTCGTCGCCGTGGGAGTAGAGCCCAGGGAGAAATTTGGCGGTCGCGAAGACAGGTGGGTGGGGCTGGGGCGGAATTGGGACCGGGATGATTGCGTCTTGTTCACATGTGTCGGCAGCCGTGGGAGGACGGAGAGACGTCCTTTTTCTTTGGCAGGCACAGGCGCGGACAGGCGCAAGCGCAGAGAGCACAACAAGTCGCGGTCAGGAACAGGAGCAAATTCAGGAACAGCGACAGAAAATCGGCCTACCTGTCAAAGCTGGAAAGGCTGCACGAGAAGAGGCCGGGTGGACGAGGGCCCCCACGGGAATTTGATAAGAATGGGGGGCATATGCCGCCCGCGCATGTTGACTTTGGACTCGGGCGCGGGTCATGACCAGTTGCTGCAGGTGGGCAGCCAGAACCTGGGCCGGCGTCCTCAGCCTATAGTCGTCGCCATGTGCCGCCGGCGAAGGGCGCCGCAGCAGAGACACGGCGCACCTGACGCCGGGCCCTGGCAATGGAGGGAGTGAATGTAGGCCCATGGCTGCTGCGAGGGTGAGGGAGAGGGTGTGCAGATGACGGCTGCCACAAATGACTCGCCCTGGCCACCGGGCATGCAGCTGCCAGATCATGCACCGATAATTATAGATGCAAGACGGCCATTGTCAATAGTAATACTACTACTACTACTATCCCACGTCTCAGAGGGCAACTGCAACACACACACACACCTGGACAAGACTGCTGCTCGCATCGCTCGCTCTGTGGGCCATTTACAGTGCGCTGCTCACTGCAACGTGCGGCATTACTCAACCAATAGGCAGCCCCCTCGCTGCCATTCTCCTCCACGCCCACTGTATGGATGCTCTGTGGGCCTCTTTTCCTTCCTTCCATCGCCTAGCCGCTTCCCAGAAAATCACGGCTTTCTACACAGTACTGTGACTGTGTGCGCACCAGGATCATCACTGCGCAGTGGGTGCTGGAGTATGCACGTGTTCTTTTTTTTTCCTCTCTTTCTGCCGCGTATCCAACCAGGTACAATTGCTTGTCTTTTGCATGCTGGGACCGGGGCGCGGCGTACCCAGGGCTCACTGCAGCGCTGATGGTGAGCTTGAGCAAGCTGCAAGCTGCAAGCTGCTGCTAGTCGAGGGCAGGCGCACCTTGTTAATCTCCTCGGCTATGGCCGCCCCATTGGACCTGCCGTTTTGGGCCTCTCTGGCGCGGCACACTGGCAACAATGCGCTTCTAGGGACAAACAATTGGGCAATTGCAATTGCATTTCGTTACAAACTAGACGAAACACCTGGCCAAGGGTAATTACGCGAGCGCTTTCATCTCGTGATTGAAGAAAAATAAAAATAAAAGAGAGAGCCCCCTAAGCACGCCGGCATGGCCGACTGGAAAAAAAAGAAAACGGAAAGAGACCGTCCGCTGCGCTGCACGCTCCAGCCAGCGGCTCGCTCCGCATCAGAGTTTAATGTACACATTGGGGTGAAATGAACATGAGAGACCCGTCCGACTGTCCCGCTTCCCACGACTAACTGCGCAAACACGTTGCGTCTTTTTGGGGGTATTATCGACCTTTGTCCGGAACATGGGAAAACAAAACACTGTGCCGTAGAAACCGACCCCGCAGAAACGCCGTTAATGGACATGACCATCTGCATCTCGATCGTGGTTTACATTACGGCACAGCAGCCGTTGCTCTGCTGTGGCGCGTAGGGATCGTCGCGCTTGTCGATCTGCACATAGATATCAGCATGGCTGCGACAAAAAAAGTGCAACACGAAGCGCAGGGCGCGCGTCCACTTACCGTTCCCCATCGTGATGGCACCATCCAGTCCTTGGGCTCCTTGTCCGTGAAGGCAATCAGACTGCGACGCCGCTGTTAGCTACTGCTACTACATGTGTGCTTGTTGAATGTCGCGACGCTTTGTCGGCTGGTGGTGGACCTACTCTAGTGCAGCCTCGGACACGGGTATCCTGCGTCGTTCCAGGTCTTCTCGCAGGCGCTGGTTGAGCTCGGTGAGACGTCGCAGCTTGAGCTCGGCCATGCTCTGCTTCTTGGTCTTGCCATCGCCGCCCGTCCGTATCTCGTAGGGTGCGGCGACCATCATGGTTGGCGTGGCGGGCATGGCGCGCGTGCGTAGGTATTAAGCTGTAAAGGCAAAGGGAGATGGGATTCGTTGGTGTTTTGGTGGTTGTTGTGGTGGTGGCGGGCGGGTATTATGGCGATGGGGGATGGTGCGGCGTCGTCGTATACGGCGTAGACAGGAGACAGCAACAAAGGGAGGGGGTAAGGAGCGAGGACGGCCAGCCGGGTGTGAGCCTGCCGCCAGATGTCAGCGCGATGTGGATGCTGGAGATGCTGCGACGGCGACTGCAACGGCGAGTGCGGTGTCGAGGGCTGACGAAGAGGGTGCAGAGATGGGCGACAGGTGAAGCACGGGATGCCAGGAGAGGTGGTTGGAAGATGGGCCGGCCATCCCCTTGATGGGCCTGTTCGTCGGGCGCTGTCCGTTGCGGCATAGCGCCATATTAGGTTTGAGTACGGGGCTAGAGCCTGCCTGCCCGCCTGCCCGCCTGCCTGCCTGCCCTGCCCGCCCTTGCTGCTTGGCTTACCTGGTGCATTGTCCCGCCTCGCCGATTCGGACGCCTCGCTCTTGCTCTCGCTTGCCCGCCTGTCTGCACCGCCACTAATCAGTAGCCGGCCTGCTGCTACGGGCAATTCGGCCTAGCATGTATTGTCTCCTCCCGCCAAACAACAAACAACCACAACAACATCCGCTGCACCGCGCCCGGCCCATGCAGTGCACTGCGCATGGCTCGTCTGCCGGCTGCGTCCCGAGGGGCTCGCTCCCCGCGTCTGTGTGATAAGTAGAGTCCCTCGACACGCCAGGACCGCGCGGAGCCGTTCGCTGAGCGCCGTCGCCTTGCATGTGCGGGGACGACGGCCCTGCTGAGGTGCCGGCACATCACTGGCGGGTGCTCGCTTACCTCAGCCTACCACAACCATTTTGCAAGCGGTGACTTTGCATCGCAGCCTGTGAGACCCGCACCGCCATCCCAACCTCCAACGCTCCCGGCTGCGTCGCCTGCTTGCTGCAAAGCCTATACAGCCCGTTGTCCTGGGATCTGTGACATCGACCTGCCCAGCATGGCGCCTCCACCCCACTCCAAGCCGGAGAACACTCTGTGCGCCCCGCCTCAGACTCGCTGCAGAGGCTGCCCCAGCTAATACCACGCAGTAAACGAGCACAGGAACTCATCGGCGTCGACCAGCACCAGGCCGCCCTCCAGCTGCTCCACGAACATGTCACCTCGAAGCGCACCCGCAACAGCCCCATCACCTCGCTCGAGCCCGTCATGATCCTTTTCGTCGAACTCTGCGTCGATCTGCGCAAGGGCAAACTCGCAAAGGACGGCCTGTACCAGTACAAGAACACGGCCCAGAACACAAACGTCGGCACAATCGAGACCGTCTTCAAGCGCTTCATTGAGCTCGCCGAGCAAAAAGTCACAGAGGCCCAGGCAAAGGCCGACGAGGTCCAGTCCTCGCTCGAGCCCTCTGACGACAAGAACGTCGACGACCTCGAGGCCACTGAGACGCCAGAGTCCATCCTCCTGTCCACCGTCTCCGGCGAGCAGTCGCGCGACCGCACCGACCGTGCCATTGTCACGCCATGGCTCAAGTTCCTGTGGGAGACATACCGTACCGTCCTCGACATCTTCAAGAACAATGCCCGCCTGGAACTCATGTACCAGTCAACCGCCCACCAGGCCTTCCAGTTCTGCTCCAAGTATGCCCGCAAGACCGAGTTCCGCCGTCTCTGCGAGCTGCTCCGCAACCATCTCCAGAATGCTGCAAAGTTCTCGTCGCAGATGCACGCCATCAACTTGTCCGACCCCGACACTCTGCAGCGCCACCTCGACACCCGCTTCCAGCAACTCAATGTGGCGGTCGAGCTTGAGCTCTGGCAAGAGGCTTTCCGCAGCGTCGAGGACATCCACACGCTTCTCAGCTTGAGCAAGCGACCAGCCAAGAACATCATGATGGCCAACTACTTTGAGAAGCTGACCCGCATTTTCCTCGTCAGCGAGAACTACCTCTTTCACGCTGCTGCATACAGCCGCTACTACAATCTCCTGCGCCAGTCCGCAGCCGCCGTTGCCTCTGGACAGAGCCCCAAGAAGGACAACCCAGCCGTCACAGAAGCCGACATGACCAAGGCTGCCTCGTTTGTCCTGCTGTCAGCCCTTGCCATCCCCGTCATCAGCACCTCGCGCTCTCGCGGCGCCCTTGTCGACGTAGATGAGGCTAGGAAGAACAAGAACTCGCGTCTTACCAACTTGCTCGGCATGTCGCAGGCCCCTACTCGTGCCATCTTGTTCAAGGACGCTCTCAGCAAGGGTCTGCTTAAGCGTGTCCGTCCCGAGATCCGCGATCTCTATAATATCCTTGAGGTCGACTTCCACCCTCTGTCCATTTGCAAGAAAATCTCGCCGATTCTGTCTCAGATCGGTGCTGACGAGGGCATGCAAAAGTATGTTGGCCCGCTCCAGCAGGTCATCCTCACCCGTCTCTTCCAGCAATTGTCCCAAGTATACGACTCTGTCGAGATCAAGTTTGTGCTTGGCCTCGCCCAGTTCCCTGAGCCCTTCCACGTCAGTGCTGGTACCATTGAAAAGTTCATCATGAACGGTTGCAAGAAGGGCGATCTCGCGATCCGCACTGACCACGCTACCGGGGTCCTCACTTTTGATTCGGACGTCTTCTCGTCAGCAAAGGCCATGCACCCTGGTTCTGGTGCGGGATCAGCCGAGACGGAATCTCGCTCCGTGCAGCGTCTGCAGAGCACCCCTGCTGAGATTGTGCGCTCTCAGCTTACCCGTTTGGCCAAGTCACTGTTCGTGACCTGCCAATATGTTGACCCTTCGTTCAACGGAGACCGTCTGCGCGCGAAGGAGGCCGCGCTTGCACGCGCGAAGGAGGGCGCTGAAAAGGAGCACCAGGAGATTCTCAGCCGTCGTGACATCATCTCGCAAAAGAAGGAAGCTGCACTCAAGGCCCAGCAAGCCAAGGAGAACGAAGAGCAAACCAAGAGGCTCATTCGCCAGCAACAGCTCAAGGATGAGGAAGCTCGCCGCCTTGCCGAGGAGCAGAAGCAGCGTGCTGAGCAGCGCATCAAGGCTGAGCAGAAGCGCATTCAACGTGAGGAAATGGAGAAGCAGATCAAGGAACTCAAGGCTACCACAAAGGTTGACATTGAGCTTCCGGAAGATCTCGACGATCTTGACTCCCAGAGGATCCGTATCCTCAAGCTGCAGGCTCTTGAGAGGGAGAAGAACCAGCTTGGCGAACAGCTCCGCATTGCCGGCAAGCGTATCGATCACCTGGAGCGCGCCTACCGTAAGGAGGAGATCAAGCACCTCAAGACTGATTACGAAAAGCAACAAGAGGAGGATCTCGCAGCTTACGAGAAGGCAAAGGCCGAAGAACTCAGGGAAGCCGAAGAAAAGCACAAGGAAGACGTTGCGCTTAAGCACCGTCTGTCAAGATTGGTAACCCCTTACCAGCAGTTCGTTTCCACCGTCAAGCAGCAGCGCAAGGCCGAGTTCGAGAAGCGCCAGAAGATTGCACAGAAGGAACTTGAAAGCAAGAAGGCCGCACGTGTCAAGGAGGTCAAGGAACGCATTGCAAGGGAGAAGAGGGAGCGCGAGGAGGCCGAACGCCGCCAGCGCGAAGAAGAGGAGCGCGAGAGGGCTGAAGCTGAGGCCAAGGCCAAGGCTGATGAGGAGAGGCGCGCACGGTTGGCCGAAGAGAAGGCGAAGAGAGATGAAGAGCGAAAGTCAGTATTACCATGTCCTCTTCACAGTCACACACTAATATGTCGCAGTGCTCTTGCTGAGAAGGCTCGCCTTCAGGCACAGCGTGAGGAAGAGGCCATGGCGAAGCGAAGAGCTGCCGCTGGCGCTGGTTCCGGCCGGACCTTTTCTCGCGAGCCGGCTGCTGACGCTCCTTCTTCCAGTGGTCCACCAAAGATTCAACTTCCTGGCGGCAAGCCCAGCTGGCGTGAGCGTGAGGCCATGAAGGCCGCTGGTCAAGTACCTCCTGCTGCCAGCACATCCCCCGCACCTGCAGCAGCCTCTCCCGCCCCCGAGGCGGAAGCGCCCAAGAGGGGTGGATATGTCCCACCGGCGCTGCGCCAAGGTGGTGCTCCAGGTGGCGGATGGCGCGAGCGTGAGGCAAGCGGTAGCGGTAGCGGTAGTGGCAATGCTGGTGGCAATGCCGGTGGCAGCGGCCGATTTGAAGCTTCTCGCGGTGGAGACCGATGGGGAGACAGGAAGGCCTCTCCTGCTACCACTGGTGGTTATGTTCCCCCTGGTGCTCGCCGCGATGCACCAGCTCGTGAGGGCGAAGGTGAGCGTGAGTCGAGGCCTGCTGCTCAGGCTCCAGCCGCATCCACTGGTAAGTATGTACCTCGTCACTTGAGGGATCGCCAGTAGAGGAGGATGGGAAAAAGCTAGGCGTTCGTTTTGTTTCTACGCTCGTTATGATTGACAACTGGTCAAAAGCGGGTACAGGACGGATATCATGGCATGGACCGGGAGTTTGTGCTTCTTAGAGTGAGCGGTCACGAACATGCGCCCACAGTATGTAGTTTTGTTTTGTCTGGTCTTTCAATGCATTTGCACTGTTTCTTCAAGACTTCGCACCTTTGTCCTTGATCAGTCTACTGAGTGTCATCGTCATTGGACCTTGCTGACATGGCCGGGGTTTGTGGTAGGCATGTTGTGGCAAGGGGATGGCGATTAGAGATCGGATGATGTCACATCATGTTGCCAGTGTATCATTATACTATGTCACTTCCTTTTAGGTACTCTTCTAGACTACTATATTACGAAATTCGTAATCAAGCAAAATCTGTTTCAGATTTTATTCTATCATATGAAAAGTAGCGTCCAGGAGTGACAGACCTATACAGTAATGGTTTGTAGTAACGGTGTGCTATACATAAGATTGTACGTGCAACACAAACCACCGCCATAGTTGTAGCAAGTTCTGCAACAACGAGCAGAGGGAATATGAACCCAATCTGAGTACGCAAGCCACCGGAGATGCCTTGGATTGCAT